ACGTCTCTGAATGGGCGCCCCCATCGGAAGATTTTCCCTATTTCTGGATGCAGTGGAAACCCAAAGTCTAGGATTTTTCTCATCACTTTCAGTCCCATTGACAATGACCAAACAGGACAAACAGTGGAGGGTGAATATCCCGAATGGAGAAAGAGACAACAATAGAACTTCTGTGAGATGTTTAACCCTTACCTACACTATCAAAAATTAAAAGCAAGTTGGATTTGAATACATCTTAAAGCAGAGCTGGACAAATCCCAGGATCCGGGTCACCAAGGCTTCTAAAGGAAAACAAAACGTATCCCAGCCGGCTTCTGACTTTTGAGGTTTCCTGAGAGGTGCGCTCCTCTGTTTAGTGGTTGGGGTTTTCAATAGCCAGCCTGCTATTGGCTATTTAAGTCCCTAGATTTTTTCTGTTTTTCTCTTTTTGTACACGCCATTTCATCTACCTCCACAATTTTATGTTTTTTATTTTTGGGACCACACTCGAACTAATTGGACTAACCACAGAAGTTTGGGAACTTATATTAGCTCCCAGTTTTCCAGCCCCCCTCCCCCCCTTACAAGGTTCTGCGAAAAATCGCCCTGTTCCCTACTCTGCTTGCAGCGCTTCTCCCTTCCCTTCTCTGTTTTTTTTTTTGAAAAATCTTTTTATTCATTTTGCATAGTAAACAATTACATTACAGTAACATTCGGGCACCAACATAGCACCCCATTCATACGCAACAGTTTCCCTTCTCTGTTTAACTTGCTATTGGCTATTGCAGTTTGTGATGGCCAGTAGCAGTCTGTCTATTGCTCTCAGATGCTAACATTCACCTGCCCGCTGCGGAAGCGAGCCGGCAGGTGAATGGGACAGTGGGGTTGCCTGAGAGTTAACCATTAACTTTCAAGCAACCAGAAATTACAGTTAATGGGTGCCGGATAACTGGGAGTTTACTCCGTGTAAGGATTTATGAACCTTTAGTCTGTGTCTAGTATGTGAATACGGATGTTCTTGGAGGCAGCCATATTGTTAATTACCTATGCAGGCAACGGTTTACTGTTCCTTCTTCTGCGTGCACTTTACATATATATACACGATATCGTGTAGTGCCTTGGTTCTCAACTGGTGGGTCGTGACCCCGTGTTCAGTGGGTCCCCCGCGTGCCTTCAACTTTTCTAGGTGAGCGGCTAATCTGCCTCCCCCTAGCGTAACACTGTCAGTTCTCGCGCCGAGCAGCCATTCAAACTATGCTGCCCGGTGCTGAGTGTCAGCTTGAGGTGGGCTGGGCCGGGGCTATGGCCGTGAGGGAGCTCCATCCATACTTGCATTCCCTACAGCACCCTCACGTGTCCTGTAGGAGGTGCCTGGACCGGAGTGATGTCACATTCTGGCTCCCGGCACCTCTACAGGCGATGCACATATGGATGGCGCTCCGCCACAGCGCATTCTGGTGTGGGAGTGCATTGCATTGCCATTAATTTGAATGGCATTCCAAATGCAGCTTCCCACCCACAGTTCTATCGCCCGCATGGGAACGCGAGGTACCACATGCCGTGCCTTCCATTGCAGTTCAACTTGGGTCGCGACTTAATGGCCGAGGACAAATGTGGGTCCTGAGGTTACACCGGTGTGAGAACCGCTGGTGTAGTGTATTTATGACTATACTGGTCCAATATATTCTGATCTACATACCGTGTTTCCCCCGAAAACAAGACGCTGTCTTATATTTTTTTGGCTCAAAAAAAACACTCTGTCTTATTTTTGGGGTAGTTCTTATTTTTTTTCAACAATCCACACTTATTCATGTACAAAAATATGGTGATCGGGGCAATCAGGGGTGCCGTACCTTTCCAAGAGCAATTTGGTAACCAATCGCTGGCCAGGATGAGCGAAGCGCGCTTTTACTATGGATTCCTCACAGGCAGGGAGTGCATTTGGTATGACTCCGCCTGTGACAGGAGGCGGGGCTATAGAGGAGGCATCGGCTTATGCGGCTCTGCTCCCTCCGCTGCCGCCTTGCTTCCTCTAGCGCCGGATTCGTTGGCACCGCTAATTCTCTCCCGCGGCTCTTCAAGTTTCCCCCTTATGCCACCACCGGCCCCGGGAATGGTCACAACCAGGTCTTATTTTCGGGGGAAACAGGGTAGCAGTGTGGAAGTGTAACTTTACTGGTCCAATATATTCTGATGTATAGAGCACAGTACGGGGAGGTGGGCCAATACTCAGGTGTAATCTCTTCCAATATGTATGGAACAGGGCAGTCGTCGTCCCCCCCCCCTCAGCATGTGTGTGTAGGACACTGGTGGTGATTATTTAGGAGCCGGGACACTAAACATGTCACTCAGTCATCACTACAGGCACCCAGCCGCTTCATACAGAGCTATAATTACCGCGGGATAATTGCATCATTGCTTGTGTGTTTAAGAGCACTTGTCAGTAGGACCCGGGGGCCAAACACAGTGGAGCTGCATAATTATCCTTCCCTCATAATTACACCCCCGACATGTCTTGTGCACACATCTTAATGGACTCATAAAAAAAGAAAGAAAGAGGGTATAAATTCAGCCCCAAAACTTTGTGACCCCCTTAATCATCAACCTGCCAGAGGGCACCGAGCGAAGCCACAGAGGAGACATTAAAAGGAGAACTATGAGGGGGGAGGGGGGGTGCTTTTCACTCACCTCATAGTTCTAGCCGACCTGTGACAATGAGACTGTCACAGGTCGGCTCAGTAGATCGGGAGGTGAGAGAACACATACCGGCGTTCGCTCACTTCTCGATCCTGTCATGGCTCAATGCAATGACAGGGGAGGGGCTGGATTCCCCCCTCCCATCTGCCAGCGCTGACTGGCGGAACGGACGGGGCGGGTACAGCTGGCTCTGCCTCTAGATAGGCAGAGCCAGCTGTCACTCACGCAGCTGGGCGGCTCCAGACATCGATGTCGGGATCCGCTTCAGCTGCGGCGTCTCAGTATACCGTGAGCTGTAGCTCTCTATATACTGAGCTTAGGGTGACGGGAGGACGCTAGTTTGTGTCCTCCCATTACCCTAAGGAGAACTATGGGGGAAAAGCCCCGACCCCATAGTTCGCCTTTAAGTTACCAAACTCCTTCCTGTAAATGTGCAGACGAGATCAATAATAATGGAGGACTCCGGGTCCTTTCATATATTACCAACGGTTCGGAATCTCCA